GTTTTCACTTCAGGCCAAATAGTTAATTTGTAGCTAGTGTAGAGGCTAATATAGTGGCTAAGAAACTGAGATGTGAATCAGGGAGCTGATATGCCTGAACAATGTCAAAATCAATTTCCATATAATGAGCGGAGGTAAATTTTTGTTACTTCTGCTATAATTTTATTTATTTACTTATTTATTTAATTTATATCCGCCTATCTAGTCGCGATGGACTACTCTAGGTCCCTTGGCTGCAGGGACCTCCAAGAGGTAGACATGATTTGGGGGGTGGGGTGGGGAGGTTATTTTCTTGGAATTGGCCAAGAAATGTGGAACAGACAGAGGTCAGCTACCTACTTAGAATTTGGGAATAATACAATCCCCAGAATACCCCAGCCAGAATAACCCATTTGTATATTGTTTACATTACAGTCCAAAAAAATTCTTCCCAATCTCTCATCTTGAGATAAATTATAGCTTTTAGATAACTGGTTCTCCAACTGGGGATCCAAAACTGAGGAATCTCCCAGGAAGCACAAATAAACGGGTGTATGAGAGAGATTTCCATAATCCTTCACATTATGACAAAGCAAGAGTGTTAAATGCTGATACAGTATTGTGTTACTGCAATTAGAAAAGCATTTGATGAAATATAGAACAAAAGCAGGGAAAAATTTTATATCATAAAAAAGTCTTCGGGTAAAAAGTCTTCGGCATATAAGTTAAATAAATAAATAAATAAATAAATAAATAAATAAATAAATAAAATTAACTTTTGTTTTCCAGTATTCTTAAGGTAAATTACATTTCTTAAAAAATCTTTTAGAAGAAAAGCTATTTATGTTTTTTATTTGATTTTATCTTATCTATATGGTACTTTTCTGTGCACAAAGGGACTCAAGTTTGCTCACAATGAGTTAAAACAGCACAACAGAACTGTAATATATATATGTAAAGCACATAATATTTACAAGCACTTCTAAAAATAGTTCCGTTGGTATGAGAGTTCAGTGGCCCCAGGTGGCCTTTTGTGCCCAGGGAACTGCATTTCCCAGGAGGCTTTTCAACAGGGATGTGCTGCTTTTTTGAAAGAGGGATAGGAAGGGCGAATGTGCACTTCACAGTCCAGGTGACAGGGAGTGGTAGTGCCTGAAAAATAAAGCATTGGGGTCACTAGTTAAGGCTGCAGCACAACCTTGCTTTGCCCTTTGGACAGCTCCAGCACAACCTTGCTTTGCCCTTTGGAGATGTGGTGGGTAGCATTGTTGCTTTCACAGCTGCACTCCTCAGGCCAGCTCTTCTGCAAGACCTGGGTGTAAGGGTCTGCAGATTTGTGTGTTATGTGCTGCAACTCCCAGAATTCTGCCTGGGGAATTCCTGGAGAATTCGGAGATGCAGTCCAGTTCTGAGAGGGGTTGCCTGGGAAATTTTGGACAGTTGTTGAGGAAAGATAGCCCTTCAGCCCATGTGATCAAGCTGGATCCATGCATCCCAAGTGAAGAAAGTAGACTTGACAAAACCAGAGTGGATTACAAATTCCTTATCAGACCTCAAACTGGAAATCAGACATGGATATAATAATCCAACAATCTAGGAATGTGGAAGTGATAATCAATTGTCCTTAATTGGAATTAGAGCACATACGGAAGTTTGTATTCACTGGGTCAGGTCAAACAGAGGGGTTACAATAGATAAAGCATTTCCTGATCATGTAGTCTAAACAGCCTATCAGAGTAAGCTGCATTGTTCTTGCTATAGCATTGCTTTTCAGCAGTTATTTTTATTTTATGCTTTCCTGCTCATGTTCAGTTGTTTACTATAGAAGTTTCAACTTAGAGCTATAAAAGAATAATTGTTGGATCATTTTCAAAAGCAGTAAAATTTATTGTTTTATAACAAAGATTCACTCTGTGTTCTGTTTTGCAACCCTCAGCCAGTGAACATGACTGGCTGAGGGTCGCTATCTGCCAACACAGTCCAAAACACAGAAGAGACACTCATAATTTTTCTTAATACAGTACTTCTACCAATTATTTCTGTACAGAGTACTTAAGTAAAAAAAAAAATTCAGGGGTCACTGAAGCACTATTGTCTGAAATTACACCTGACAAAATGAGGAAGCCCCCCCCATAGCCTTCAAAAATAGCTTTACAACTATATTTGTAAAATACCTTGCCTGTTTTTCAGTACTATTCTTATCATCTCCTTTCCTTGTCATATGTTTGTCAAGGAAGTGATCTATTGCCACATAATTAGGCCTGCGGATGAAACACATATGTAAGGCAAGAAGCCTGATAAGATCTTGAGGAAATGAAAGGAAACCACATTCATTATTTCACGTTTCAGCAGAACGTGGCAACAGATTCATCAATGTTCAAAGGTCTGGTCTTGGATGCATTTAAATTTACACTGCAACAAAACACTGTATTTTAAATATATTTCTTATATTATTTACCGTTCCCAGAAAAACTTAACAATAGAGAAACATAAGAAAAACCTATTAGTTAAAAATATATAATGTGATTTATGTTCATGGAATTATATCTGCTCCTCACATTAATTAAACTGTACTGTTGCATGCACTCCCATTTTTCTGGATAGTGATATGTCCTCGTAGTCTTGGGTTTGCTTAGGTTTGATTTTCTTTGGAAGTAAGTTATCGGAGACTAGTTAGTGCTTTGTAACAAACATACAGATTGAGCAGAAGTGAAAGTACAATTTAAGCATTCTATTAGACACCCAAAGTCCACTGCTTCCATACCAGATCTCTAGCTACCACATTTAGATGCCTTTGCAGAGCCTTAAATTCAGCTCAGTCTGCTTCAGAGTGCATAATATATTGCAGACCCCTCCGGCTGTTTTCCTGTGGATAGGGTACAGAATCATTTCTTCTGACCCATACCTATGCTTCTTCACCCTTATACAGACAACCTGCTGAAAGAAAAAAAAATAACATTCCAAGCATCTGACGAAATGGGTTGCAAAAGCTCGTTTATAGTATTACCACTTTGTGGTACCATAGATCTCTCTGTTGTTTCATCAAGACAATGAAAGTATGTCAAATCCATACACTGGTGTACTGATTGCTATGTTCATATATAGCAAACAGGAAGTCCATAACAGCGTGTTGACCCTGTGAATTGGCTGAAGATATAGTTGCACTTGGGGAATACTAATTATGGTTTACAATTAAGCCGGAAGAATTATCAGCTCCCACCTTCAAGAAGATTCCTGCTGGAAACTGTAGCTTCTAGTGCTACTACTGACCATTGGTTTTGAATTCCAAATTCCTGCTACTGGTATACGCCATATTTGCTTAATTTGTGTGAACTGGTATACGCCATATTTGCTTAATTTGTGTGAACATCAATGACATTCCAGATCTGGGAAATATAAACCAGTTTAAATTCTATAACTAATGGCAGCAGATGGGGATACCAGGTAAAACAGCCTGACTGAAATCCTGTTGCTTCGTGTAATGAGTCAGCTAAAGTTAGACCCATCGACTCAGTGGGGGTTGGTGAGTCGGCATTTCCATAAATGGCATTGATTCAATGGGCTTCCTCTTGTTCTTTCAGTTGATTTCAGCCCCTGACTTCAAACCATTTCAAGTCAGGCTGAAAAAAAGTCGATTTAAGTAGGGAAACCCTTATCTCCTGTGGCTGTAACTATCCCAGCAATGTCGCAGGAGTTGGCAGAACGACACAAACTGCTTTAGGGACTCCAGTTCCAGATTTTACCTCTAGGTTAACTCCTAAAGCTGGAACCAGTTGTATAGGCTCTTGCCTTTCCATTGAACCATTTCAGCAATGTGGAGAGGGGGGATTTGCTGCTTGGGTAACAGCCTATCCTCCATATTACTTTACCCAGGCTTCATGCTCTTGAGAAGACACTTCTCGATACAGAGCATGTTACCATAGTCTCCGGAGACTGAAGGATGCCTATGTAACCATCCCTATCTGACAAAAGCACTGCAAACTTGGAAATTCCAGTACCTGCAAACCAGAATTCGCCTGCCTTTAGGGTCCACCGGAAAGGTTATTGCATCCGCTCTAAGGGCAGAGAGCCCAACTTAGGTGAGGAAGTTGTTTCGTGCCTCGGGAATCAAGTCGAGAAGAAAAGAGCAGCAGTTCCTGCTCCATCTGCTTGAACCTTCGGGCAGAGGAAGCCAGACCTGGCTTGGTGCAAGATAATGTTTAATTTAAAAAAACAACCGCACACTGTCCGACTGAAAAACCTGCTCTGTGAGTTGTGAGGAACAAATTATGCAAGTAGTGGGCGAGCAAAAAAAGCCTTCAGAAGCGGGTTTAAATTTGACATACGGCCGCCTCAAGAAAAGGCAACCATGAACCAGAGAGCAAGGACTTTCAGTCTTTCAGTTCTGAGCAAGGCAAACGTTGAGAAAAAGCAGGCAGGCAAGACCCGCGGACCATGAAGTGCAGACCTACAAGGACAAAAACCTATACTGTATTACGAGTTGAAGAGTTTGTGGAAAGGGCGCTCGCCATAAAGTCCCTCAGAGAAACTTGGTGGTGTGTGAAGGGTAGGAAACAAGAGAATGCATAGCAAATGGCTGAGGTGAGGACGAAAGCCATAAAGCGCTCAGGGGGAAGAAGAGGGCCGTAAGGGCACACACACCCCTCAGCGCGCGCTTTTGGCGGGAAAAGACCACATTTAACTACGTATAACACCGAGAAAGAAAAAGAGGCATGAGAGAGAGAGAGATGGGAGAGTAAGGAGCGGCATTGGTAGTCCCTCCTGCCAGCTGCTTTAACTTTCTGAGGTTACAGGTGCGCCTGCGCGCGCCTGGCTCTTTCTCTTTGTCTCACACAAGCACACCCTCGCCACCGTCCCGGGAAAAGTTTTCTCTTGGCAAGGGATCCGTTTCCCTCCTCGTGTGAAAGAGGTGCGTGTTTCCCTCAGGGCGCTAAGCGAAGGTCGGCGCGGTGACGGCGGCCCGGTGCGCGACCAGGGGTGGAGCTAGCTGCTTCTCCTCAGAGGCTTGAGGTGGTGGCGGCGGCCGCCTGTGCCTTGTAAGCCACATCGCCCCGGTGGAGAAAGTGGGGAGAGGTGGAGGATGAAGGCAACAGATCGACGAGAGTCTCTCGTGGAGGAGGTAGATCCTTTGTCCGTCCGTTCAGCGTTTCTTGGGGTCGGTGGAAGAGGCGGTTGTGAGGATTGTGAATGAAAGGTGTCCCGGAGAGGATTGGGGGGGGGGGTCTAAGTAAGGTTGCCACCTAAAAGTTAAACAAAATAGGGTGCATCTGTAGCATTATTATTCGATAAATAAGAATTGAACAAGTGCAATTCCAGCATGAATAGGTAGTAATGGAATCATTGCATGGGCTTGATTTTTGCCTGTCAGGCGCTAATAAAGTGGATAGTGTCAGAAGACAGGTCTATTATTAAACATAAGATGTGACCCCTAATGGTGGAGGGAACTGTTCCCATATGGGAAGGGGTATGGATTGTTTTGTAGGAATGAGAGTAAAAAGCATTCCGTTGAATTCACCTTATTCAAACGCCAGTCGTGAAAAATGTCTCCATTGATTTCTCTCATTTATTCCCAATTTGTCCCACATTAGGTACGTTATTATTATTATGAACCTCCACATGTTGTTTGAGGCCTGACCTGTGGGACTGTGTAAAGTTCACTCTAGAAATCTTAACATAATAATTTTGTGAAAAGTATCCAGAAGGTAATACAGTATTAGTTCTCGTAAAGTGTTTATAGTACAGTCAGGGTAGATTTGATTTCAATCACAATTTAAGTTTTTAAAAATTTGGATTTTTTTTGACAATTTATTTGTTTAAAATTTGATTTTGAAAATTTAAATTGTGATTTAAATCCATTTGATTTTTAAAAAAAACTCATTGATTTTTATCTACTCTGGCTACAGTAGTTCTTTTATTCTCCCCCTATTTTTTGCTAATACACCTAAGAAACATATTATTGTAAATGAACTATTAAACAAAATTTAATATTTTTCTCTCTGTAGAATTAATGATTCACTTCTTTAAATACTGTACAGTACTTGGCATTGAGTCTAAGCAACATTCGCCCTTCTTTGGTTTCATTGGAACAAGTAACAATAGTCAAAGGCTTAATTGGAGACTGATCAAATGTGATCAAAACTCAAAGACAGGTAGGCTGTAATGGAATTGGAGTTGTCAGTAACTTCCTATGCCAACACAACTCTCCTTGTCCCAGTACAACTCCCATGTGCTGATGAGCTGAGATCTGCATCACAACTGCTGTGCTTGCTGAGATCAGCCAGCAGAAGATCAAAAAGGAAGGCAGAAAAGGAGGGGAGGAGCAAGAAGGGAGCTCAGTTGGGCCAGATCCAATCTGCTCTCACAGCCACTATGCCAGTACAAATTTAGGTAAGGTTGCGATAGTCCTAAGTAATTTCCAACATTCCTAGAGAGATTTAGCACAGACTTAGCTAGTTTATTGTCAGCTCAACCAACCTTCAGCCATGTTGGCTAGTTCAGATTTCACCCTAAACTATTAACAATAACAGCTTTTTAAGGATATGAAACCATGCAAACTATATAAATGTTTGCATTCTTTTCTTTGATGTTTGTATCCAGTGGTACTAGATAGGTGTTTCACATAAAAGGATAATTATGCTGATCCATTTGAGAAAAATGACAGAGGATGCTTACAGCCCTTAGTTGAAATCAGCATTCCTTTGTATTACTAGAGCAGTGGTTCTGAACCTTGGGCCCCCAGAATGTTCTTGGACTAAAACTCCCAGAAACCTTCACCACTAATAATAATAATAAACAACTTTATGTTGATTGAAAGTTCCACTTCACTGTGTAATTGAATACTCCAAAAACACTGGGGCGAGGATGTAATGCTCCTTGCAATGATGGGAGACTGGCAGATCCAGTATTCCTATCTCTTTCCAAAAAAGTAGTATGGGCAGATGTTGCTTTGTAAATATTTTAGAGTCTTTTACAACCTGCATATAGATTCTTGTCATCTTGGCCTACTTCCTTTTTCTCTGGTATGTCTACCTGCTACTTCAAATGTATTTCCTTTTTAAAGTTTCAGCAGGCTCTCATTTTATTGTACTAAAACAAATATGGTGGTTTAGAGTGCTCAGGCACATCAGTCCACATATGACCATTCGGAGAAAATATATGTTAGAAAGCTCTGTTTGTCAGTTTTTATTATGAAACAGAAATTTTGTTTTGAGCGTTCTTGTGGAAGTAGAAATTACTTCCAGTCCATGTGATATTCATTGTGGTGGCTTCCAAGAGGGTAGCCATGTTGAACTGTTGCAGTAAAACCAACAGTTTTGTAGCACCATAAAGACCAACAAGCTTTGATACACACTCATGAGCTGTAGACCAATGCATCTGAAGATGTGGGCTGTAGTTCACTGAAGTGTACACCATGTACAAATGTAAAGATGCCACAAGACTTTTATTGTGATGAGGCTTAGTGCAGTAAAAACTTAACTGAGGACCTGGATTTTAACATCCTAGTTGAACTGTGGATACTTTTCACATAAAGAGGAATTCATTGGTTCTAATTTACACTGTTAATGTTCCTCGCCACTTTTTTTACCTAGCCAACCTTTTTTTACTGGTCTACATTCCAACATACAGTATCCTGTTTGTGGGATGTCAGTGATCTGAATAAAAGGAGGGGGAAAAGTACCAACTATAAAAGTTTGTCCACCTGATAATTTGGAAGCAGTTTTTACTCATCATAGGTGAATAACCTAGGTATCTTTTACAAGTTTGATTAATATAATAATATTTAATACAACATTTAATACAATACTGTCCTTAATACAATATTTTGATGTTAAAACTCTTCAATTAACAAAGTGTGGCCTCCAGATATTGTAAGACATCAAACCTAGCAGGGTAGCCAGTTGTGAGGCATGCTGAGAATTTTAGTCCAACAACACCTGGAGAGCTGCTATTTGTCTTTTATTATGTGCTGTCATGTTGTGTCTGCTGTCCAGGAATCTTGAAAGAGTTTAAAGTAAATGAGCTACTTAAGGAGTGATTTTATCAGTGCCTACCCCCAACTCTCATTAGTTTCCATGGATTTAAACTCAGGTCTCCTGTGTCTTAGTCCTTCACGTCTCTAGTACACCACACTGGGTACTTTTTGTCTACTCATGATTAATTAGTCAAAATACAGTTTCATTTTTGTTCTGAAACCCAGGTTATTTGAAGGTATAACATTTATCTTTATGGTTGCCAGTAATAAGGTTGGTGTTATTAATATGAAAACTGGCAGAAGCTACAGGTTTTGATGGAGAATACTCTATTGGCCTTATATACTGTACTCAGTTGCCTATCTGTAAATGTTTCTTTCTCTTGGGGGCTACTCACTTATGGCACTTGGATTTCCTTATCACTGATAAAAAAAGAACTTGTAAATGTACAACCCCTCTTTGCTAAGGGACGTGGTGGCGCTGCGGGCTAAACCACAAAAGCCTGTGCTGCAGGGTCAGAAGACCAGCAGTCGTAAGATCGAATCCGCGCGACGGAGTGAGCTCCCGTCGCTTGTCCCAGTTCCCTCCACCCTAGCGGTTCCAAAGCATGCAAATGCAAGTAGATAAATAGGGACCACCTCGGTGGGAAGGTAACAATGTTCCGTGTCTAAATCGCACTGGCCATGTGACCACGGAAGATTGTCTTCGGACAAAATGCTGGCTCTATGGCTTAGAAACAGGGATGAGCACGCCCCCGAGTCGAACACAACTGGACAAAAATTGTCAAGGGGAACCTTTACCTTTACTTCTTTGCTTTTATTTTCTGTAGACTAGCTGTATACATGTCTAAATTCTAAGGGCATGTATATGTAGATGTAGCATTATTTTATAAGAACTCTTGGAGTAAATGCATCAATTCGGTAAAGTAGTTACAAATTTTTTTGTATCTGTTCAAACATAGAAGTATTTTTTTTCCAGATAAAAGGATAGTGTTCTCAAAGAAAAGTGTTTCTTTTCTGCTGACCAGTATCAGAACAGAACAGTCCTGTTCATGTATAATAGATGTGTTTAATAGATGTGGCAGCTAATTAGAGAGTACTTGGAAGTGGTCTGCCATTCCCTTCTTTTGGGTGCCCTGGGACTGCACAGCTTGCCCAAGGCCACGCAGCCTGTCTCTTCTGGGATGCACAGTGGGGAATCAAACTCCCAATCTTCATCTCCATAGCCAGATAGCTCACTCACCCAGCTATCCAGCCAACTTGTACATGTTTACTTGGATGGAAATTCTACAATATTTAATTGATCTTATTATTAAATTCTTCAGTTGTTGAATACTTATACTATGGAGGATAGGTTATTAAAAAGCAATAATACAGTACTAGTAAAAGAAGCAAAATATTGGTCTGCAAATCTGTTTCTTCATTTTAGTACAAATGTGTTTAGAGCATAGTTTATCTTGTACTTTTTTGATAAGCTTTTCAATGAAGTGTATCAGAGTCATAGGTTTTCCGTGTTGTTTTGTGAGATGTAGTATGGAATATATCTATTGGTGCTCATTTGTCATAGAAAAGGATCCCCCTGCCATCCGGCAACCCTGCGTGTACACTCTGCACCTCTGGTTTGGTGATAGAATATGCTATGGAGCAGGTTTGGGAGATGCCCTGGAAGGTGACGAAGGGGGTTCAGTTGCATCAGTTGAAGTCTGCTCACGGGGGCAGGTTTGGTGTTGTGATTAACTCGGTGAACAAAACATCCCATGATTACAGTGTAATCATTCAGTAGTACTGTATGTCCCATTGAGTAGGACGTAATTCCACATAAGTTTATATAGGATTGCAAACAGTATGGTAATTATTCATCACTGATGGTTACTTTTTGTGATTAAACTCCAAAGAAGTGACAGTGTTTGTTCAGCATGTTGGCATAACTGAAAGTGGGAGAAGAGGAAACAAGGATAAAATACCCTGGGACTTTAAACAATCAAACTGTGTGAGCTTTAATGGACCAAAATGCATTTCTTTTGCCTCATCATATGTGTCCTTAAAGCAAGGTGAATTGGATTTAAATCAAATTGATGTAAATCAAAATTGGATTTTTGGATGATTTTTTGATAAAAATCAATTCAATCAATTTTTTAAAATAAAAATAA